GGGGGGGGGGGGGGAGGGAGAAGCAGAGCTGTGGTCTTCCCATTGCTATTGCTCGTTCTTCCCCTGCTATAATATGTACTCAGATGATGGCACGTTGCTTGTCTCAGTGAAGGAAACTGGATTACATGTGACATTTTAGTTCACTTTATTGTTGGTGGGAGAGAAGAAAAGGGATATAAAATGATAGTGGACGAAGACTGGAATGAGTATATGGTGAGAGCACTAAATGAAAATCTTGATGTTGTTTCCTTGTTTGTTGGATATAACTGACAAGAGGAGCTAAATTCACCAGCAAACAAACTTTCATTTCTGTCGAATATCCAACACTTATGGCATCCTAAAGCTCCAGCCAAGCAGATAATTTCAGGCTGTTAAGTGACACAAGCTAGGATATGCCAAATAGAAAGGTAATTTGGAGCATAGTCTAACTTGCTGGAGAATGATCCAGCAGAGGTCCTGCAGAGAAGTAGCGGCCTCGCTATTTCTCGCCTTGACAGATTTTTTTCAATTTTGAGAAGTAGAAATGAGAGACTCCTTCCAATAGAAAATGGATCCCAACAGATTGATTTTCAGTTATGAATGTTTTACTTGGAACATGACGGCATTTTTTTAAATTGATTTTCCTTTGTCCATATTGATTTTTTGTTACATGCTTGCAGGAGATAGTTTCCATCTACCCTGTTTTGTCACCGCCAAACCTGACTCCAGCACAATCTAATAGAGTTTGTAATGCTTTAGCACTTCTTCAGGTATAAAGATTTCTTTTCCATACGGAGTTATTCTCAGATGATTCTTCATGATGTTTCCTTTAATCATCTCTCATTGGTAATGTGTAAAGTAATGAGTAATTGCCATGTATAATTTCCTTCATAAGAAGTAATAGCTTTATATATCCCAAAAAAGCTTTTTCAGTTAGGAACATTTATTCAGCTGTAGGATGTAGACGCTTGGATATGTTTGGGGTTGTGGTTTATGTATCAAGAGGGAGCAAGGTAGGAGAACACCATACTAGAGAGCCCACATTATTCCAGTTGATTGTTGCATATTGTTCAAATCCTATAAATGGTACCGGCCATTCTTGTTCATAGTGGTTGAGAGAGTCCTCTTCATGCAACTCGGTCAAGAGTTCGACGCTGGTAGCTGCCAACAAAAAAACTATCCTATAAATGGTAGCTTTTGCAGTTCATGTTAAGAGCAAATTTATTTTAAGTTTCTATCTTTGGAACACATGGCATATCTGAGATCACATTCATGTGGCAAATGCTTTGGAATTGTAACCCTACAACGTTTTTTTTTTTTTTTTTTTTTTTTGACAAGGCGTAACCACTACAGCTATCTATTTAATTCTTATGCAGGTCAAATGTCCAACTAATGAAACTGTTTTTCTTCCTGTTTCATTTTGCAGTGTGTAGCCTCTCACCCTGACACCAGAATGTTGTTCCTCAATGGTAATATTGTTTCCCTTTCTTATGGTTCTTCCTCAATGGTGATCATCTTGGTTTTTTGTATGCAAAGCCTTTTTCGACTTTACTTTTAAGTGGAGCGGCTTTATTGAAGAAAAAGAAAATGCAGTATCCAATACGTCCACCTTTTTTTGAGTTATGTGGAGCGTCTTTATTCCAGTTGTATTGGATCATAAACTATCGAACTGGGGAAATCCCTTTGACTGCAATTCTAGAAATCGGTTTACTTTAATTTGCAGCCGCACTTGGAATTATTTGTTATTTTCACAAGCAACAATGCAAGCATAACTCATTGCAGATAATCCTTTAGAATCAAATTGGTGTCAGTTTTTGGTTGGAAAAATCTTGACGAGAGAATTGATATTTCATATTATTCAGACATAAAGGCATTATCATTGCATTTATTGTTTTTCCCTGCAATCAAGTAATGGACACCCTCCTTTCTTGCCACTCCAATGTCCAGAAAGATACATAAAAGAAGAAAATGACATATATGCTTGTGGCCTCATGTCCATTGGAGCATTGACTTAAACAAATGGGTTTATATTAGTTGCGTACGGATGCTAAGTGTTTTGGAACCTTTCACTACATATACTCTTACGCTTAAAGAAACACACTTACCTTGCCTTTCAATTCACGGCGTGTTTCCAAGATCTGCATCAACTTTTGTGTGATGATATTAAGAAAATAGAGCTTGGGGTGAGATTTGTAGAGTTTTTGCCAAAATGGTCCCATAAATATAACACCTTGGAAAACTTGATCCTCAAATCTCTCCTTTGAGAAATTTAAAGGTTTGCTGCTTCACATGTGCCTCAGATGACCAACCTAGTATTTGCCCAATTCATATGATCCTATTTGGGGAAGAAATCTGAGATTTCCTTGCTTAAAACGTATAATTGCGGAAAAATAGCTACTCCATCTGACCTGGTAGGGTCTTCCCCATTCCCAACCTTCTTCAAGTTAGAAGCCTTAACTTGTGTTATTTCTGCTTCCACCAGAGGAGTGAAGAAGCCCTACTGTTTTGCTTTTGTAGCCCTCGGGGGGAGATCCATAAGTACTACGAGAGCACTGAGTTCTGATATGGAAGCTCCCCCTCCCAGAGGCTGGTCAAAGAAGTCGCTTAGGACTTCAAGAATGATATTAGATCCCAGACCGCTGCTGCGGCATTTATCTGCTGGCCCATGCTCCAAAAAGGCTGAATGATGCACTTGGTTGAATGCTAGGTTATTTACCTAGAGCAAATAGGGGTCAATACTCGCTTAATACCTTTTTTTTCTCCTTTCTTTAGTGGTGCACCATGTTCTATGAATCCTAGATCCGCGTCTTCTTTGAGGGTACCAATTTGTGTGCCATTTATGCTAGAAGGGTCAAGGATTACCATTATGCCTAAGGATATTCAGCTGGTCAGGTGCTTTAGGGATGAAATGGCTTAATCTTGCTGATCTGCTTCCTTAGTAAGTGTTTGTAAGATTCATGGTGGAACAAACATTTTGTGGGGGTTAGTTGTTTTTGCTTGAGATGTTTGGAAATGAAGATGAAATTCCGCCAAAAAGAACTTTGGGTTATTTCTTATTTTGATCTCTCTGCTTTTGTCTCTGTGCCTCGGAAGATATGGAAATTTCACCATTGAAGCTTCGGAGGCAGGCTCATTTTCCTTATCATTTTCTTTTTCAAAAGAAAATGAAAATTGGATATGAACATGAAAGTGTTGGTATCACAGACTTGAGACTTGTTTACTGATGGCTGATTTAAGGTTTTATGATTAATTTATGTATGGGCTCTGCCAAATCAACAACCAGCAAAGAATGGATTCCACTTCTCTCTAGTGAGTTGAACACTCGTGATCTCTATTTAGTTTCAGTCATGGTGGTCATGTCTTATAGTTTCTTCCCATTTAGGGCTCCCAGATTGGAGAAAAATAGGATTATTTTTCAAATATGGCTCGTTAATTAGGGATCTTATTGAGGTTGGTCACGTGACACACATGTGATGTTGCAGACCAATAAGTCGCTTAACTCATTAGGTTTGAGACCAAAAAGGGTCAACTTTTACAAACTTGGAAAAATATATCCATTTAAGGTGATTTTCAGAGGTTAAGTTCGTTGAAGCGTGATACTTAAAGGACTATTTTGGTCAAAGCTCATGATTTTATACTTTCTCTTGATTTGACGATGCTTCCAACTGTACTCAACTTTGTAATGCATATTCCTTTATCATTGTACTCTTAAAAAATCTGGTCTGCACTTGTATTCTTATTGTTTTGATCTGCTTAACTTTAGTGTGATGATAATAAGGAATTGTGATCTATTTGGTGTGTTTTTTCTTTATCTTAATCTGATGAAATGCTTTCAAATGTTCTTTACTTTGCAGCACATATTCCTTTGTATTTGTACCCTTTTCTAAATACGACAAGCAAATCAAGACCTTTTGAATATTTGAGGCTTACTAGCTTAGGTGTCATTGGTGCCCTCGTGAAGGTAATATTTCTAATGTATTTCTCACATTTCTTCTCTTCTTTCAGTATTTATAGTAAGATTTGTTCATGTCACAGTGACATTATACTATATGTACCGGGAATCACTGAAAGCCTGAAAAAGAAACCACGAGAAGGAAACCATGATCAGTACAATTCGAGAATGCTACTTATGGTATCTAGAAATATTGTCAACAATGGGATATAATAACCATATGGCAATTAACTTTTTGTAGGTCTGCTTAATGAAATTTCATATGTATTGAAGTGCAATATTCATCACGTGCTTCAGGTGGCATTTGTGCTTCTCCATTTCAATGATTTACTTCAAAATTTAATGTACTCTATTATTTGATATTCTCTTTGCAGGTAGATGATACTGAAGTAATCAGTTTTCTACTATCAACAGAAATAATTCCCCTGTGTCTGCGCACAATGGAGATGGGCAGTGAACTGTCAAAAACGGTTGAGTGCTTCCCCGAAGCCTGTCTTTCCTGACTTGTAAATGAAATTTATGTTGCTTATATACTCATGATGTCTTCAACAGACTCTTCAGACACCAAAACAAAGACAACTTACGCTGCACAATTATATTCTACTCGTTATGAAAACTTTTTTATTTCTACATCCTCTTTTACTATTTCCAGTTGCATCCTCTCAATTTGTATCAGCTTTTCATGCATCTAATTTAGAGTCATGCTGACAGGTTGCAACTTTCATTGTGCAAAAAATACTTCTAGATGATGTGGGTCTGGATTACATATGTACCACAGCAGAGAGGTTTTTTGCAGTTGGCCGAGTTTTGGGGAGTATGGTAGGTGCACTTGCTGAGCAGCCTTCATCACGATTACTGAAGCACATAATTAGGTGCTATCTTCGGCTGTCAGATAATCCAAGGTGAGACTTCTGCAAATCAGCATTTAAAATATCCCTTCAGCTCTGTTATTTATAGCAAGATCAGGTCTCACCTTTTACGCTGCACCATGAGTGAATGCTGATGTGCATGGTTTATGGCAGGGCATGTGATGCACTAAGAAATTGTCTCCCTGATATGCTTAGGGATGCTACATTCAGTAGTTGCCTTCGTGTATGTACATTTCTTGTTCATCTTTTTCGCTAAGCTCGTAGTTTTCTCAGTTAAGAACATGAAAACATTCTTTTTATGCTTATCAGGCGCTTGCTCTATTTTTTTTCTTTTCTATATCCATGATGGTTTCTTTTTACTTATGCTCAACAGGAGGATCCTACAACGAGGAGGTGGCTACAGCAATTGATTCACAATGTTAATGGTAGCCGTGTTGCTCTACAGGCAGGAGGATTTGATCATTTGCTGGTGAACTAAATTGAAATCTTACTTGTGTTATCCGTGGAGTCTTAGACCACTAAGACTCCATATAGCTGGTTTGGTATAAGGTTTATTTAGGTGTTTCCTAGAAAGGTATCTTTCTTAATTCGATTGGTGGTCTTTTATGGCGATTTATTGTGTTATGTAAAAACATACAATATTATGGTTAAACTTCAAAGACATTTACTTAAAACTTCAGACATACAGGTGTGAAGTTCGGCAGGGGCGGACCCATATTGGTTCCAATTGAACCCGCTTCGCAAATTGTTTTTACTTTTTTTATATGGGAATTATCTTTCTGTGAAACAGACTTGTATATTAAATATAAGCCGTTGAACCCTCTTAATGAAAAGGTTTGTTGGTCGGATGGTTAAAGCGGGTTCAAAGTTTGCAGATGATTGTGTGTTCGACTCCATTGTCTTACATTATTTTTTACGTTTTAAGTTTCCATAGCTTTTCTGGCCCTTATGTTTCTTAAATTCCAATGTGGTAAATCAAGGAAAGCGTGGTAAATACTACACCATAAACCTTGGATTTTACTTTTCAAGTTTAAGAATGGAGCCTTGGTTTTACATTTTTCTTCATTTTTAAATGTATAAACATTGATTTTTGTTTTTACTTTTTAATTAATTTTCCTTCATATTTTGTTCTATCAAACTTTGACAGCCTCTAGATATGAAACTTTCATATCAGTTCTTGTCTTCTTTCTTTTGCTGTTTAAATTAGTTTCTTTTTGTAGTTTTGGCACTTTTTAAAATAAAATTATCAATGTAGTCGAGTTTATAGCTCTCTTTCATTATATTTTGTTTAGATTTAGCGCGAATTAAATTAAAAATAACAAATAAGCAATTTAGTATTTTAATATAGATCAACGTTGATGATTGTATGGTAAAACTAATAAAAAAATTCTAAAGTTTTAATAAATTGTTAAATTTGTAAAGGTAAATAGATTTATTGTTAAAATTTAGGTAAAGTTATAGTAAATTATTTTAAAAAGTGCGACTCTGAAACAAAATAAAGAGTAGCAGACAATTTGTTTTTTTTTTTTAATGTTTTGTTAAGTACCAAAATAAAGAGAGCAAAGTAACCTTTGTTTGTTAACTCAGTGTCGCTTGTACTGTCTATTGTCGTTGAGTACTTCAGCATGTATCTGAACCCGCTTGCATAAAGTTCTGGGTCCGTCACTGAAGTTCGAGACTACTAAAGTTAACTTCAAACATTTTATATTAGGCTTTGGTAGCCTCAACTTCAAATCCGTATGTCTCAAATATTTGAAATTGATTTTGAAGTGGCTAAATTTATTTGTTTTTTATTTATTTATAAATTTCGGTTATGTTTTAGAAGGTGGTCCTCCAAGCGTCTAATTGGGGAGATTTGCAAGCGTCTAATTGGGGAGATTTGCATCTATATCCAGTTTTTGGATCACTTTTTAACCTATACCCGCTTTGCAAAAAATATTGCAAGCGTACCCACTTTTCGGGTAACTTTAGACATACGGGCCTGAAGTAGTAAAAATTTATGTCTGAAGTTTGAACTTCAGAATGTTTTGCCTGAAGTGTAGCCTTATCAAAGCAAAACTTCAGATATTTTTGCCTGAAGTTTGGCCTGACTTGCAAAGGCAATCACACAAACTTCAGTTCATAGTGCAATGGAAAACTTCAGTTCAATAATTGTTGAACTTCAACAATTTTGGCTGAAGTTTTTGTTTTGTAATTGCTGAACTTCAACATTCTAGGAGCTGAAATTTGTTTATATCTGCTGAACTTTAGCATTTTAGGAACTGAAGTTTGTTTAGTATTTGCTGAACTTCAGTTCCTAGAGGATGCACTTCAGTTCAATAATTGCTGAACTTCAGCAATTTTGGCTGAAGTTTTTGTTTTGTAATTGCTGAACTTCAGCATTCCAGGAGCTGAAGTTTGTTTAGTATCTGCTGAATTTCAGCATTTTAGGAGCTGAATTTGTTTAGTATTTGCTGAACTTTAACTCCTAGAGGATGCACTTTAGTGCTTGGGTCCTTTTGGGTAATATTCCAAGCAGTCAACTTGAACTTCCCGTCATCCATCCTCATACCAGGAAGGAAGGTATCATTGGGTTCATCAAAACTTTACCATAGTGGCTTCCCTGACAAATCATCAATTAAACCAAGTTTCCTGAATCCAAGAGCTTCGCTTTATGTGAAGAAGATGCACTTGCGCCTACTTGTGTTGAGAAATATGAGTTCCTTGACGAGTCTAACACTTTGAGATTACCATCATCAATAGCGATAACGAAAAGTTCAGTTGATAAAAAGGGAATTGGGTAGTCCCTGTTAGCAACCCATACAACCGTTTCGGGACTCACCTTGTACCATATGAATAATAATATCATCTAGAGGAAAGAATAATATCACCATAAGAAGAAGAAGAAGAAGGAGGAGAAGAAGAAGAAAACGAATGAGGAGGAGAAAGAGGCCTGAAGTTGTTTAAAAAGTGGGTACAAGTTAAAACTTTTTAAAAAAGTGGGTATAGGTTAAATGGGGGCGACCAAATAGGGCACCCCGTGTAATTTTTACGTCTATTTGGTCACTTCCCATCAATAAATGAGGTACTTAGGTTGAGATGGGTTGGTTAACACGGTCTTAAGAACGAGTTGTAACCCTATCTACCCAATTCTAACTATATCTTAATTCCTTGTTTGTTCTCTTATAATTTATTTAATTTTCAAATAAAAAATAATATATATTTTTCTTTATTACGATTATATACATCTAACAATATATAAAAAATGGGTTTTATTTTATATATTTTGACAAGTTTTTTCTCAGGGATCAATTTAGGTTATGTAGTTGATTCAAGATAGTCTAGCTTCCACTTGTACTATGTCAAAATTGTCTTGCCATGCAAATCTGTCCAACTTGGGTAGGTCATATTTTCATGAGCTAATTTTGCCAGCAGATGACAGACAACTCAAATTTGAATATTCATGCATGAATTTGGGCAAGATAGAGCATAAATATTTCATGAAAAAGCCAATTTTGCCATGTGTAAAATGATGTTTTGAAATAGGTGATGACGTGAATTCAGACACCGGGGTCTAAAGTTCGCCTGAGGTAGAGCTAACTTCAGACAATTTAGATATTTTTGGATGAAGTTGGAGATTGCCAGGCCTAATGTAAGACCCAAATGCCTAAAGTTCATATTCGATACTTGAAGTTTATACCTAGAAAAGTCAACTGATCTTGCTGCAAAAGAAGGCATGGTGGCGGAGAAATAGATGATGTTGCAACTTCAGACATGTTTACCTAAAGTAGAGCTTGCTCGAGATATTGCTAACTTCAGCTAACTTGCTTGAAGTTAGGGATTGCGACGCCTAACTTCAAACTCTATTCATATCCCGATGTCTGAAGTTCATACTCAAATGTCTGAAATTCATACCTAAATGTCTAAAGTTATACGTCGATATCTGAAGTTCATACCAAATCTTGTGATTTAAAGCCAAACAACTGAAAGTTATAATGGGATAAAGCTAACTAGATTTACTGCAGAGTCAAGGTATCGCAATGAACATTACTAGCAAGATACCAGAAAATATTGTTGCAAGTTTTAAATAAAGATAGCTTCATTCATCCACGTCAGTACTTATAAGCTCCATTCACGTCCTAATCAACGGTCTGTTGGAATAAGTGTTTCAATAAATTTGAAACAATGTATTTGATAAATTAATGTATTTACAAAAGACTATATTATTTTTCAAAGTGAATGAATGTGAATTTATTCTTAATTTACTATATAACTTTTGGTTTTAGCAAATACATTTGATCCTCCAAATTCATGAATATATTAATAATCTTATTAAATGATAAACTTGTCTTTCAAGAATCTTTAGCCTATAAATAGGGCTGATTTTCTTTGAAAAATACAAGCAAGTCACTAACTATTTTTTCCTTACAATATTATAAGAGACATTGATCAAATGGTAAAAACATAGATTCAAGAATAGAAGAGCAACATTCTTGAATGCTACTTGTTGTGTGGCTTAGTTGAATCTCGGAGATAGAGTTATCCTTTATTCTTCTGTTTGCTCGTAGAAGAGACTACAAATGGAGATTTACTTCTGAAAAGATGGTCACGTTGAAAGACGTATTGTATATTCCTGACATTCGGAAGAACTTGGTGTCAGGTACACTACTTTCGAAGCATGGTTTTAAAATAATTTTTGAGTCAGATAAATTTATTTTATCTAAGAATGACATGTTTGTAGGAAAAAGTTATGCTACAAATGGCATGTTCAAACTCAATATTGATAATGAAAATATTTCTGCTTATATTGTGGAGTCTCTGGATTTATGGTATGAACGTCTAGGTCATGTGAATTTTAGATCCATTCAACTTATGGTAAATCATGGATTAATTAAAAATTATGAAAAAGATCATATTGCTAAGTGTCTTACTTGTAGTAACTGCAAGATAATAAAAAAGCCTTTTAAGTCAGTTCAAAGAAAATTCACACTTTTGGAATTAATCCACACTAATATTTGTGAGATGGATTGATTGTCACGTAATGAAAAAAGATACTTTATTACTTTTATTGATGATTATTCAAGATATACATATGTCTTTCCATTAAGAACAAAAGATGAGGCCTTTGAGACTTTCTAAAGCAGAAGTTGAGAATAAATTGAGTTTGAAAATTAAATCAATTAGATCTGATAGAGGTGGAGAGTACTTGAGTTCAGATTTTATTAATTTTTATGAAAGAGAAGGTATTGAAAAACAATTGACTATGTCCTATACACCACAACAAAATGGTATAGCTGAAAGGAAAAATAGGACTTTCATAGAAATGGTTAATTCTATGCTTTATAGATCTGGTGTGCCTGGAAATTTGTGGACTGAAGCTTTATTTTCAGCCTGTCATATTTTAAACCAAATTCCTTCCAAGAAATTTGATACATCACCTTATGAACTTTGGAAGAATCGAAAGCCAAATATTAATTATTTTAAAGTGTGGAGTTGTTTGGTTCATGTTAAATTACCAGATCAACATATGGCTAAGGGTGGCTATAGAGGAATTGATTGTGTGTTTATTGGTTATTCTCTAACCAGTAAGGCTTATAGATTCTTAAATCTTGAAACTCCAAGTCCACACACAATTGTTGAATCTGTACATGCTAATTTTTTTGAGCATATTTTTCCTAAGAAAGAAGGATCTTTAAAATAAGATACAAGTTCTTCTACACCTCCTCTTAAAATAAAAGTAGTTGAATCATTGGAAGAAAGTCAACCAAGACGTAGTTCTAGATCAATCAAACCAAGAGAGTTTGGACCTGATTTTCAAGTCTATTTGATAGAAAGAGATCCTGAAAGTTATGCTGAATCAATGTCTTCACATAATGC